CTGAGCAGCGCGATCGAGAGCGCGTCTGCCGATGTCAGGAGTTCAAGACGCAGCCTTAGCCACTGGTGAACGCCCGTCGTCACTAAAATCACAAAAGTTAGGGCTGGGCGTGGTGGCAGGTGCCTGGATAACCCAGCTACTCAGGAGGCTGAGGCAGGAGAATGGCTTGAACCCAGGAGCGGAGGTTGGCAGTGAGTGGGAGGTCACACACTGCACTCCAGCCTAGGCGACAGAGCGAGATTCTGTCTAAAAAAAAAAAATAATTATTTGGGAAAATTACTTTAGAAAAACCACTGTTCTTTGCTCCTGCCCTGCTGCCATCCCTTAGTTTTCTTATTTCAGCAAAAGAAAGCCCAGGGCCGGGCCGGGCCATGGTGGCTCATGTCTCTAATCCCAGCACTTGTGGAGGCGCGAGGCAGGCAGATCACCTGAGATGACAGGAGTTCAAAGACAAGCCTAGCCAACATGGTGAAACCTTGTCTCTACTAAAAATACAAAAATTAGCTGGGCTGGGTGGGCGGGCACCTGTAATCCCAGCTACTCAGGAGGCTGAGACAGGAGAATTGCTTGAACCTGGAGGCCCCAAAAAAAAAAAAAAAAAAAAAAAAAAAAACCCAGGGCCATTATTTTGCTTTCAGAAATAAATTTGGATTCAGGTAGTGAAGAGTGGTATGAGTAATACTGTCAGCCAACAGTTAGAAATCCTAATGTCGAACTGTGGATGTATATCTGAAGGCAATCTTTACTATAGCTGCTGCCATGAAAGTCAGAATGAAAAACATCTGTCACTGTTACAGAATTTGTGAGTATAGGTATGGCAAAAAGTATGCCAGTGGGAATTGCTGTCACAGGATGAGCTCCCAAGGAGAGTATTACAGACTTCTGGTGAGGCTTACAGTCAAATAGCCTGTGTTTTCATTTAGAGGTTAGGCACTTAAATATATGTAATCAGCAAATTGCTTAATTTGTCCGAGTTTCTGTTTTTCTTTCCAGTACTACACAGTGTGATAGGCAGGATCAGATTAGTGTATTATCTATTACTTTGTAACAAATGACCCCAAAATTAAGTGGCTAAACTCTTAATTTGTCTGGTTTCTCTGGGTCAGGAATTCAGAAGCAGCTTCACTGGGCAGTTTTGACTTAGTGCCTAATGCGGTTGCAATTAGAAATCACTTGAGGCTACAGTCATCTGAAGGCTTGGCTGAGGCTGGCTGACCCACCTCCAAGATGGCTCACTCACATAGCTGACAAGCCGATGCTGGCTGTTGGCAGGAGGCCTTAGTTTCTCTCCACGTGGTTGTGTGAGTGAATTCATGACATGACTGGCTTTCACCGGAGCAAATAATCCAAGCATGCAAGTCAACAGCATCCTTTTATGTTCTAGCCTCATAAATCACACTTCAGCCATATTTTATTGGTCACACAGAACAGCCTGTTTCATTGTGGGAGAAGACTACGCAACAGGATTAATACCAGAAGGCAAGGATCATCATGGCCATCTTACAAGCTGGCTAATACAGACGTGTGGAAGTGCTTTTAAACTGAAAAAATGCTTTGCAAATGTGTAATGCTATTTTCTTTTTTTTTCTTTTGGTTCAAAGTGCTCAAATGATATTTTATATATACAGTATCTCACTGTCCCAGAATATCATCTAAATGCTGTCTTCATTATCCTAAGTGTCCCAAAATGGGAATTTACTTGTCAGCAGCATGCTGTAATATACTGATTACCAACTCATACGCCATGGCACACTTGGGGACCTCAAGTCTCACAAGAGTTTCATCAAATTTAGCTCACTACCTTTTTTTTTTTTTTTTTGAGACGGAATTTTCACTGTTGTCACCCAGGCTGGAGTCCAATGGTGCAATCTTGGCTCACTGCAACCTCCACCTCGCGGGTTCAAGCAATTCTGCCTCAGCCTCCCTAGTAGCTGCGATTACAGGTGCCCACCACCACACCCAGCTAATTTTTGTATTTTTAGTAGAGACGGGGTTTCACCATGTTGGCCAGGCTGGTTTCAAACTCCTGACTTCAGGTGATCCACCTGCCTTGGCCTCCCAAAGTCCTGGATTACAGGCATGAGCCACTGCACCCAGCTGCTCACTAGCTTATTTCTACAAGTGAGGTTAAATTACTATTTCAGTGTTATCTATCAGAAGAAACTGTGACAACAGCACCACTAGGTATGACTTGCCTCAAGAGAGATGGTGTGTTTTCTGCAACGTGTGAGTTTTGCCTAGACCCAAGTAATGACAAGGGACTGAAAGATAATGGCTAACATATAGTAAATACTTAGTTGTCAAACACTATTCTAAGGGCTTTGCAGGTGTGAGGTCATTTAAGCCTTGGAGCAGTCCTCTGAGTAGATCCTATGACAGAAGAAACTGGAAACAAAGTAAGTAATTTACTCTAGTTGTATCTAGTGGCTGAATACTGATAGGGCCACTATCAAATGCAGACAGTCTGATTACAGAGTTAAAAAAAAAAAAAATGACTAAATTATTGGCCTTGGTATTTTGCTACTTTCTTAAACATATCTCTGAAACTTAGGATTTTCAACTCTTAGAAATATCAAATGTAGGCTGGGCGCAGGGCTTATGCTTGTAATACCAGCACTTTGGGAGGACGAGGAGGATCACCTGAGATCAGTAGTTTGAGACCAGCCTGGCCAACATGGTGAAACCCCGTCTCTACTAAAAAATACAAAAATTAGCTGGGTGTGGTGGAGTGGGCCAGTAATCCCAGCTAATCGGGAAGCTGAGGCAGGAGAATCACTTGAACCCTGCAGGCAGAGGTTGCAGTAAGCTCAAATTGTGCCAGTGTACTCCAGCCTGAGCAACAGAGCTAGACTCTGCCTCAAAAAAAAAAAAAGGAAAGAAAGAAAAAAAAAGGCAGGGGGGCTGGTGGTGCAGGGGAACATTTCCAGGTTGACAGCTGCTCTGGCTCAGAACCTTGTAATTATCCATTAGTAGAGCCATCTGGATTACTGCAATAGTTCTCTAATAGGCCTTCTTTCTTTTCCTTGTCCCTCAAAATCTATAATATAGTCTCCCATCAGAGTGTACCTTTTAAAAGTGAGTCAGGTCATATCACTTGTCTGCTCCAATCCCTCCAGTGGGTTTTTAGTGATGCCTTTCTTGTACCACCCTATTAAAAACCTCCATCCCTGCCCCTGCCCTTATTTGTTATCCTTTATCTGCTTTATTATCTCCATAGCACTTATCACCTACGTATCATAACACATATTTGACTTGTTTTTTATCTGCTCCCATTGGAAGGCAGGCATCTTTGTTCCCTGCTGTTATCTCAGATTCTACAATGGTGCTTGGCACATAGAAAACACTCAATATCAGCAGCGTAAGAGAGGGAAAAATGAAAAAGGAAAAGCACTCAATATGTATTTTTGAATAAATGAATTAGTGTGTTTGTTATGGCAATTTATGATAATCAAGGGGTTAGGTACTCATCACTGCTAACAGTTAATTGAGCATTGTCTCAGTTAATTGAGTTAATGTTTAAGCTTTCTGCATGTTTCATTTAATACCCACAACCACCTGTGATGTAGTTCCTTATTTTTTCCATTTTACCGAGTAGAAAACCGAGGACTAGAAGCCGATTCCCACAGCACGTTTCAGTTGAGTTGGATTTTGTTTCCCTGGGCCTGCCTCTTCATAAAGGGACTGGACTAAGAATACTCTTGACCAGCCCGTAAGAACTTGGCACTCGTCTCAGTAATCTGAGCTAGTAGGGTTTGGCGTCCATAGCAACCATGGCGACAGGACGCGCTCAAGCGAGAACCAAAAAGCGAGAACAGGTACAAGGCCAAACCTTCTACATTCACAGACACCTATCAAATCCCGAGCATGGAACACCAAATTAGAACGCTGACTAGTGCCTGGTAATGTAGAAAATACCCAAGTTAAAACGGTAACAGAGTGACACAGCAGCCATTGAAGATGTTCCACTTAAGGCACCGACAGGCGTCACGTGACGGGCGGGGAACGCCCACCGCCCGGGCCTAGCGCAGCTTCCTCCGCCCACCACGGAAGTGGGGCGGGGATACTAACGCGGCGGACCCGGGTGGACGGAAGTGGCTGTTGGAGGCTTTAAGGTAGCTTTAAATTCGTGCTGTCCTGGGAGTTCGCCCCTTTCGGCTGGAGTCGGGCTTTGCGGCGCCGGATGGCTCTGGACGTGAAGTCTCGGGCAAAGCGTTATGAGAAGCTGGACTTCCTTGGAGAGGGACAGGTGAGGCTCTCTGGAGGGACGGGGAAGGCCCCGAGCGGACAGCCTCGCGCCGCCTCCGCCTTTGCCGGTTTTCCCGTGGAGGCCAGAGGTCTGGCTTGGCTGCTCATTCTCTTTGGGGGAAACCTCCCAGACGCACTTGCTGCCCCTCTTTACCTCCTGGGGGTGAATCCCTGAGCGGCCTCTCCTTGCTGAAGAGTAGCCTGGAGCTGGACGGAGACTGACCCGCCACGTTTCCAGCCGCCACGAGTCCGCTAAGGAACTCTGGGCTCTCTGCTTCGCGAAATGTAAAAATACAAAAAGGCAAACACAGAAACTCCCATAAACTTACGTTATTCCTATTTTTCTTTCTAGTTTGCCACGGTTTACAAGGCCAGAGATAAGAATACCAACCAAATTGTCGCCATTAAGAAAGTGAGTTACCTTTTTGTGTCGTTTTTCTTCAAGTCTCCTTGAAGATGTCTGTATTATGAATTGACTGATAGCCATTTTATTAGTCTTGACCATACTCTGATAATGAGTTACTCATGTCATGTTCAGAGACAAAATAGTTAGTACTTTGTGTTCCCAAACGGAACTCTAGGGTTGAACCCGTTTTAATTTCTGTTGAAATGAAGAAGCTGTATGTTATTTTCACTACATAAACTCATATGTTGGGGGCAAGTATGCCATCTTTTCGGTCTTCAAAACTATTTGATACCGTGATCTTTCCAGGTCACTGTTTCTGCCACATCTGCATCCACGCAGTGTGTCGTATCTGTATTTTCTGTGTACAGATTTACCATGAAAGATTTTCGCTAGCATTAACAACATTGATGTGAAGTCTAAAATGAGTTCAGTAGCTTCTTATATTCATTCAAAAGACTTGGGTCGGCCAGCCGCGGTGGCTCACGCCTGAAATCCCAGCACTTTGGAAGGCCGAGGTGGGCGGATCACTTGAGGTCAAGAGATGGAGACCATCCTGGCCAACATGGTGAAACCCTGTCTCTACTAAAAATACCAAAATTAGCTGGGCGTGGTGGCGCGCGCCTGTAGTCCCAGCTACTCGGGAGGCTGAGGCAGGAGAATCGCTTGAAGCTGGGAGGTGGAGGTTGCATTGTGCCGAGATGGCGCCACTGTGCTCCAGCCTCGTGAGGGAGCGAGACTCCATCTTAAAAAATAAAGTAAAAAAAATAGAAAGACTTGGGTCATAATTACGTAACTCACGTTCACCTACATTGTTTCATTTAACCTTCAAAACAATCTGTAAAGTGGTTGAAAGTAATCCTATTTTATACTTGAGGTACCTGAGGCTGAGAGATTAGGTGATTTGTCAAGATCACACAGCTAGTAATTGCCGAAGCTAGGATTTAAATCCAGGTGTCCTGATGTTGCTTTTGTTACCGTTGCTACTTTGAATCTGCTTCTCCTCCTTCAAAAACGCTAACTCCTTGGAAGTCATTCATATTTAACATTAATTCCCCCCTTTTTTGGTCATCTTCCAGCCTCCAGCCACTCTCTTGCATTCATTTAAAACCTGACTGACTCTTCTTCTCAATTATTCTTGCCATTATTATTGTTGTTATTATTTTTGAGACGGAGTTTCTCTCTTGTCGCCCAGGCTGGAGTGCAACGGTGCGATCTCAGCTCACTGCAACCTCTGTCTCCCGGATTCAAGCGCTTCTCCTGTCTCAGCCTCTCGAGTAGCTGGGACTACAGGCACCTGCCACTATGCCCGGCTAATTTTTATATTTTTTGTAGAGACAGGGTTTCGCCATGTCGGCCAGGCTGATCTCTAACTCCTGACCTCAGCTGATCCACCCACCTCGGCCTCCCAAAGTGCTGGGATTATAGCTGTGAGCCACCGTGCCTGGCCTTTTTTTTTTTTTTCCACTTTTTTACTTTTGTCATGTCCTACTTTATGTTTTATGATCCACCACTACAGCCTCTCCCTTGTGAAACCCTTAATTCAGAAGAATCTTTCGTCCTCTTTCTTTTGTGGGGGCGAGGGGAGGGCTCTCTCTGTCGCCCAGGTGGAAGTGTTGGAGTTCAGTGGCACAGCCATAGCTCACTGCAGCCACGAACTCCTAGACTAAAGTAACCCTCCCACCCCAGCCTTCAAGGTAGCTGGAACTAAGGACACATGTCATCAAGCCTGGCTTAGTCATCTTTTAAATTCTGTCTCTGGTTCACTATATCATAGCCACACTGACTTTTCTGTCCCTGTACAACTTAAATTCATTCCAGTCCCAGAATCACAGGGTCATTGCATTTGGTCTGGCTTCTTGGCTGGTATATTTTCCCTCTAGAACATGGCATGGCTGATTCCTTATCCAGGTTTCACTCAAATGTCTCCTCCATAGAGGCCTTCTTTGTTCATTCCAGCTAAAACAGATATGCCTCTCTCCTTCCCTATGCTTTGCTATAGTTCTGTCATCGATGTGGCATTTGTCGAAATTTGAAATCCTCCTATCTATGAGTTTATTGTCTGTTTAATTCCATTTACACTGTACCTAGGGCTATGGCTAGTGCATTTGTAGACACTATTAAAAATGTATTGGCCTTTTGGCTGGGCGCGGTGGCTCATGTTTGTAATACCAGCACTTTGGGAGCTCAAGGCAGGCAGACCACCTGAGGTCAGGAGTTCGAGACCAGCCTGGTCAACATGGTGAAACCCCTGTCTCTACTAAAATACAAAAATTAGCCAGGCATGGTACCCCTGCTAGTCTCCTGGCCTCAAGTGATTGTCCTGCCTAGGCCTCCCTAATTGCTGAGATTACACCTGTAAGTCACTATACGTGGCCTATTTCTTGAGGTGTTTCTTTCCCCCAGTTTTAGACGTTGTGTATACTTTCTACTGTGAACATTGAAGATTTGGTGTTGTAGACCTTATTCCAACACTCATAATTTCTACTCCCATTCATTTGCTAGCATGTGTTTAATTTTATAAAAAGGGAAGGAATCATTAAATAAGCTACTCTGTACTCATTCACCTGTTGTGTCTTGGACTTTAGAAATACTGATTATCTCACCCTTTTAAAAAGATTATGTGGAATTTGTTTCCTAATTTATTTAACCAATCCCCTATTGATGGCCTTTGGGGTTATATCTCATTTTTCAGTGTGTGTCTCAAATCTGTGTATCTCAAAACAATATGTAGTATTGCATACTTTTTTTTTCCTTTTTCTTTTTTATTTTTGAGACAGCAACTTGCTGTGTGTTTCCCTGGCTGGAGTGTAGTGGCACAATCATAACTCACTGAAGCCTTGACCTCCTGGTCTCAAGCATTCTGTCTGCCTCAGCTTCCCAACCAGCTAGGAGTACAGGTGCATGCCACCATGCCCCACTAAATTTTTCCTTTTTTTGTAAAGACAGGGTCTCACTAAGCTGACTAGGCTGGTCTTCAACTCCTGGACTCAAGTGATCCTTCCACCTTAGTCTCCCAGAGTGCTAAGATTACAGGTGTGAGCCACTGTACTCAGCCAGTATTGCATACTGTAAGCTATATATGTATATTTGGTACATTCTTCTGCACCTTGTTATTTATTTTTATTTATTTAGTTTTTGAGATGGGGTCCTGCTCTGTCACACAGGCTGGAATGCAGTAGCGTGATCTTGGCTCACTGCAACCTCCACCTCCCAGGCTCAAGCAGATCTCCTGCCACAGCCTCTCAACTGCTGTCCTCAGGTGATCCGCCCACCTGGGCCTCCCAAAGTTCTGGGATTACAGGAGTGAGCCACCACACCCAGCCTGCAACTTGTTATTCTGAGTCAACATTATTTCCGAAATCCTCTGTATCATATGATACATGTAGACCAATTGATTCATGCTCATTGAGTATTAGTTTCCATTATATGTCTACACTGAAATTTTCTATCCAAACTCCCGTTGATAAACATTTAGCCTGCTTTTTAATGTTTTCCTCTAATACATTCCTTCTCTGGGTAGTCATCTGTGAGTCATCTTGTATGCAGGTTTGAGTTTCTCTAGAGAATGTATCTATAATTGAAACAAATTATGAATTGTTGCTTCAGAGTATCACAACCATCATCTTCACCAGATATGGTCAAATTGTTCTCCAGAATGATTGGACCAGTTCACTGTCCCACCACATTCTCAACATCATTTGCATTGTCAGACTTTAAAACATTTGTCAATTACATAGATTGAAAATGATATGTACTTACATTTCAATTAACATTTTTCTGATTACTGGTAAAGTTCATCATCTTTTCTTACACTTACTGGCTTCTTAGATTTTCTCCTGTTTTTCTGTTGGATTACTTACTTTTTTTTGTCCTATTGATTTATTGGACTTATTCTTATTCATACTTTTTGTTTTTTTTTTTTAATAAAGACAAGGTTTCACTTTGTTATCCAGGCTTTTGTGAAACTCCTGGCCGTAACCAATCCTCCAGCATCAGCCTCCCAAAGAACTGGGATTACAGGTGTGAGCCACAGCAAGCAGCCAGAATTCTTTTATGTTCTGGATATTGATCCTTTGTCAGAAATATACATTGCATATATCATCTCCCAGTCTTTGGCAAGACTTTTAGTTTATTTATGGTATCTTTGAGGTACTGAAAGTTAAAATTTTAATATGATTGAATTTGTTAATTTTTTTCAAACCTTCAAAGTCTTCCTTTTTATGTGCTTTCCTGTTTCTGGATTACAAAGAATTTTCCTGTATTTTCTTCTAAAATTTTTAAAATACTGGTTTTAATACTTAGATCTTTATTTCATCAACAAGTTTTTTCTTTGTTGTATGATATGAAGATCCAGTATTTTTTCTCTCTTTTTTTTTTTTTCGATAGAGACAGGGTCTTTCTGTGTTGGCCAGGCTGGTCTTGAATTCCTGGCCTCAAGCCATCCTCCTGCCTCAGCTTCCCAAAGTGCTTGGATTACAGGCATGAGCCACTGTGCCTGGCTAAGATTGAGTATTTTTTCTCCAGTTGTCCCAGTACTATTAATAGTCTGTCATTTTCCCAATGAGTTGTAATGCCAAATTCCCCATACCCTTGCCATACCAAGTTCCAGTGTCGGAACTTGGGTCCAATTTCTGGGCACACTATTCTGTTCCAGTGGTGGGTTTATTTTTTGTTTTGCTTTGTTTTTCCCATTGCTGCTGAAATACTACAGTGTCTTTAATAAGTCTTGAAATCTGTTAACTCCCATACACCTCGTTTTTCTTCTTCAAAATTGTTTTGGCTACTCTATGAGACAATTGGGAAATCTGAATCAGGAAAATTTGAATAGGAACTAGATATTAGATGCTACTGTAGCATTATTGTTAATTTTGTTAGATGTCAAAATGGCATAGTTATGTAAGAATGTCCGTATTTTAGAGATGTTTACCTAAGTATATTGGAGTGAAATGACATGAAGTCTGGAGTTTTAGCCAACAAAAAGGAGATGTTGGATGAATGAAGTAAGT